CACAAAAAAATGTTATTGTACGTTTTGTGAAATGGTGAGACAATTTTTCGTTTGGGAAGTATTTTAAGAAATTCAAACATGCATAGTTTTAGAAATATTGTTAAACTTGCTACTAGCACAAAACCATGCATTTTAGTAGTGTGTGAATTTTGTCCAAATAAAATTAAAGATACGAGTCTAAATTAAAGTATGTTGCTATCCTATAGGAAGAGAAGGGTGGTCAAAGTGACTTAAAGGACATTTTAAACATATGATAACCGAAAAACCTTTACAAATTTGGTGGCAGTATGTAAACTCCACAAAACTTTGTTTTTATTAAACCAAAACAAGAGAACAATATATATCCAAATTATCGATACATATCTCGCACAAATGATCGTCTCTCATTACTGAGATTGTGCACCTACTGTGTGCAGGTTTGCGATTCGAACCTGGCTTGGGTCCACGTCGTCATCGCACATTTACCACACTTCGACTCTCCATGTCGCTCTCTTGTAATTGCAATGACCCACATGGTCCAATGCTTGCAGGTTTGAGACAGTAAGGTTTGATTTACCTCTTACAAAGTGAGTTTACAAAGCATTCATTGCAATTGCGCTTTATTCCTTTTTTACAGTTTCCAGTTCTTTACAACGCGATTAGCTCCACACAAAAGCAATCATATCTACCTTGCAAACTCTGAACCACAACCCTTTTTGCTTGACCCTTCATCGACCCCAAGCTGCAAGGGGAGTCTCCGTTCTTTGGTCCCTTAAAAGTAGTATAATGTTATAATCTCATTCACTTCACCAACCCATAAGTGTCTTTGTGACTCTATCCACTATCTGATTTCTCGCACGGAGGCTAGCCAACGGAAACTCACGACTCTCATCCAAAAGAAATCTATAAACTTCCCATTGTCGATCTAAAGTTGAGTGCCTCCCAATTTCAGCCTACAAGAAACACAATTCCAGTTTTATACAACACGGAAAACCCACCAATAAAAAACAAGCTTAGAAATGGTAATATATTATACTTACAGAGAAGATGCAGATTCCAAGTGATTTCAAGGCGAGCGTGACATCATAGAAAACTCGCGGTCTTCCTTTTCCAGATAGCTCCACAGGGTTGGCTACTAACAGCTCAGAATCTGGTCCTCGGTTCACGATTATCACTCGCAAAGGACACGACATTTCCTCTTTAAGACGAGAACATAAGTTGGCTTGATGTTCCAGGTCTGCTATTTTCTTTCCGTCTGTGCCTCGAACAAACAACTCCAAATTCCTATATCCTTTAACCTTTGACGAGAATCTACCATAAGCAATCTGTATTAAGAAACAAGTACTTCAGTAACAAAACTCTTTAACCAATTCCAAGAAACAGACATAGCAATCGTAACTTCTATTGTAGCGTCAACAAACCAGACCCGAAACAGATTAGAACTCATATCTCTTTGAAACTTCTTCACATACACTACTCGGTTTCCATTTGGTTTCTACATTTTATAAACAAGAACTTCCAAAAACCGAAAAAACTCAATCCGAAACTGAGCCAAAAACCGGATTGCACACCCCTGACTAACGCCATTATCACACAAGCTCAACATCAAAAGAAATTTCCAGTGATAATGTGAAACAAAACCTTTACCCACGGCCAACAAAAACAACATCGAAACCAACAGGATAGAGCTAAGGTTAGGTTCTCTTAAAGTTAGAGAAATCAGTCGTAACGTACGTGGACATCGCAGTCTTTGGAAGTCCTGAGGATATCATAGAAAAGTCCCTTTTGATCAACACAATGAATCTGAAGCAACGTATGCGCAGGGCTCAACTGATTATCAACCGTAAGAACCGCTTTGTTAGCCCTAGAGCTAACATCAGACCCATCTAGACCAAACAGCTCGTCCGCAGCCACAGGCGAAAGCGTAGAGAACCGTTGCACGCTCTCTAACTCAGGTCCAGCTAGTTCAAGCTCACAGCTCACACCATGTTCCCCGAGCACAGCGGTTAGATGGTCACACGTTTCGGTTTGTCTCTGTTTCGTATGCAATAGATCCCTGTTACACCACAACAGGAGTTAGCTAGAGACCTTAAAACAACATGTGAAAACAACAGAATCAGAACATAAACTCACATTGCGTCAGTGATGAAAAACATGTCCAAGACTCTACCATCTGGTGTTGTCATGACTTTAACCCTTTGGATCGTAAATTCAAGCTCTGTCAAGACTTTAGTAACATCTACAACCACACAAAAAACCCATATTGGAACCATTCAAAGAAAGCACCAAGAAAACAGACAAGAAGGGGAAGAAGAAAGAAGAGACACACAGACCATGAAGCAATCCTTTCCTGTCGCGGCAGAAGAACTTGAGGAGATAAAGCGAAGGAGGCTTAGAGACATTTGATTGAAGACAAAAGTAAAAGGTGCCTAAGCAAGATGGACAAGCAGATAAGAGACGATTCTTTAAGCTGTCTAAATCGACTTTAGCAGGAGAATCTGGAATCACCCAAAACACAATATAACACCATCTTCCATCTGTTGAAAAATCTGCAAAATCACGATTTTTTCACAACATCAAATCTCAATCAGTAATCACCACAAACAAAACAAAAATCAGCTTTACAANAAAAAAAAAAAAACAGAATTGAAAGAAGAATATTCGTGTGTATTCAACCGACAAAACAGAGCATATTCCCTCGAGAACGAGGAAAAGGAGTCAAATTGAAGTCAAGAAGAAATTGAAGTTTTTATTACCAGCTCTGGTAATGGAGAGACCAAATTCGAGGATGATTCGACAGAGAGTGGAACCAAGACCGGATTCATCAGGACAATTGACGGTAACGATGCTGGGATCGCCGGAGTTTTTACCCGGCTCGATTAAAACGGCGTCGTCGTTGAGAATACCCATTTCTCGTAAATCACCACCGTTCGGAGATTTTCAAGCCTGTGAATCAAAATTCAATGGCTGATTTGACCCGAACGGAGGA